CTAGAGTCAGGCAAGGCTGCCCACTCTCTCCTGCCTTGTTTATGTCTTGTATAGAACATTTTTTTGAGTCCATCAGGAAGGATGTGAGCCTGAGGGGGCTAACTGTTCCAGGCCGCAGAGGCCTGCAGGCCAAAGCCTCCCTGTACATGGATGGAGTCACTGTTTTCTGCTCCGATCCACTGCAGATGCTCAAGAGTCTACGCATTGACAACCAGTTTGAACTTGCCTCGGGAGGCAAGAACGAGGCCATGATCTTTGGCAACTGGGCCAACTGATCCTTTATCCCCCACACCATCCGGACAGATTACCTGAAGGTGCTGAGAATATGGTTTGGAGGGACTGGGGCATAACCAAAAACTTTGAGGAGCACATCACCAGGGTGAAGCAGAAGAACGTACCCAACATCACCCTCATCCTGATGGCCACTTTGTATGTGGCTGCATCAAGCTCAGCGTAGAATCTCCGTACGCAAACACCAAGTATCAGTACACACTAAGGTTTTATCTGTGTCTGGTGTTGCAAAGGATGGAACTGGCCTTGTTGCCACGGAACGCTCCAAGTAGTTGGACCTTTCCAGTTCACCTGTTCTTCGTGGAAAAATTTGCAAAGAAAAGCACCTTTGACCTCAAGTCCAACAGGAAGTGGTCAGCATGTAGCGTCCTTGAAACCCTGCAGGGAAAAGGAGAGGCTGGATCCTGTTGTGTGGTCCCTGAGCAGACTGTCAAAGTCATTTGGCAGAATGCCTGAATGCCAGAACCTACCAATAAGCACTAAGCCATAGTCTAGCTGGTGGTGAGAAGGGCACTACCTGTGAGATTGTGTTTATGTACGCCCGGACTCTGTGCTACCGCCATCTGTTTTCTAAGCTGTTGTGGGGGTGAGGTTGGATGGGGGATGTGATGCGGAGAGGTAGAGACTGTCACATGTCTCCTGCTGGAATGTGCCTTTGCACCGATTGTAGTGGTTTTTGTCAAGGTTCGTCCCAAGCAGTTCTGTGAGACAGGACTCCATGCTCTATGGTCTGTTCCCCAGGATGCACGCTGAGACAAAAGTCGACTGCACCTGGAGGACCATCAGTTCTGTGAAAGATGCTTGAAAATTGTTGGCCTTCCAGAGCAAGGAGTCAACCTTGACTGAGTGTTGCAGAGTGGCAGATTCCAAGGTCCAGGACTACATTATAAGGCAGGCATTAAAGCTTGGGGCAGCTACGGCCAAGGCACACTGGGGAAAGACTACTCCCTGAGATTTTTCTGCTGAAGTTAAGAGGGTCTGTTCGGTTATCAGAGCCTCCTGGTGCCTCAAATATGTTCAACATTATGTTTACAAGTAAGAAATGCCTTTGGCTTGTTGCTGGTTAGAGTCAAACTCCAATGTTTGTTTGTTTCCTCATATGCTACTACAGAACTGAACTGCGTTAGTGGCTATATATGCTTCTAAAGATATTTTTATGAATGAAGTATATTTGTGAAATTTAGATAAAAAGTGGTTTAGTGGGTGAGAAGGTCTCTCTACTGAAGTTAAATGGGGGCCCGTTCAGTTTTTGGACCTTTTTGATGCTTCAAACGTATGTAAATATAATCTTGTATAAGTAAGGAATGCCTTGGGTTTGTTTTGTTCTACATATGTAAATGACAGAATCGAACTGCTCTAGTGCCTATGTATGCATATAAAGACTTTTTATTTCAAAAATATGCTTTATTCATTTAAAAAAAAATGGTAGTAGTGAGTGACTCAGTATTTCAATAGATAGACTGATAGTCTGATTTGCAGCTGAGATCGAGTCCTGTATGGGTGCAAGGAGTCAGGATATAATAGAATGGCTCGATTAAACATCTGGAAACCAGTGGTTGTGAGTCACGTGAGATCCAACGGCATGGAGGGGGACAGCATGGAGATCTTGCAGGATCAGTTTCAGGAGTTGTGAAGTAGTTTGAGACGCAGGATCTCCAAGGTAGTAATCTCAGAAATACTACCTGTGCCACAGGTTTCACCTTTCAGATGAAGGCAGATCAGGAAGGTAAATGCATAGCTTGAGGAATGTTGTAGAATGGAGGGATTTAGATCTTTTTTGGACATGAGGACCACTTCTGGGAAAGGATAAAGCTGTTCAGAAGACAAGGGCTGACCTGAACAGAAATGGAATGAATTTCCTGGCTGATAGGGTAAATAACGTAATGGGCTGGGTTGACTAATGAGCCTAGTTTTGGAAGTACCAGTGAGGGCAAAAGTGAGAAGATGGAGAACAGGGAAAAGGAAGTGAGGAAAAGCAAGTGAATCCTCCAAACTTTAGTGAAGCATCAGTCATGATCTCTTTAGAAATCATTTCTGTACACAGGTAACACAGAATATGAAACAAAGGTGAGTAAATGAAATTGAGTGGATTAGCCATCATTTGATCGAATGGTGAAACGGGGCTCAGCATCTGGCTTTCTGTCTGACTGTCCCCTATGAGTCATAGAATCATACAGGACAGAAACCGAAACAGATCCTTCAGTCCAACTTGTCCACACTGACCAAGTTTCCCAAGCTAAACTAGTCTCAATTGCCTATGTTTGGTCCATATCCTTTCCCATTCATGTACCTGTCCAAATGTCTTTTGAATGTTGTAACTATACCTGTATCTACCGCTTCTCTGGCAGCTCATTCCACCTACGAACCACTGTGTTTTTTAAAAAAAAATGTTGCCCCTCTGGTCTCTTTTTAAATCTTTTGCCTCTCACCTTAAAGATATGTCCCCTACTTTATGCCCCCCCACCCTAGGGAAAAGACCTATGCTATTCACCTTACCTATGCCCCTCATGATTTTATAAACCTCTATAAGGTCACCCCTCCACGTGTAGGAGGTCCCAGCCTTATAACTGAAACCATCCGGTCCCGGCAACGTCCTGGTAAATCTTTTCTGAACCTGCTTCAATTTAATATTATCCTTCCCATAGCAGGATGACCAGAACTATACACAGTACTCCAAAAGTCGCCTCACCAACATCCTGTGTAACCTCAACATGATGTGCCAACTCCTATTTTCAATGGTCTGAGCAATGAAGGCAAGCGTGCTGAATGACTTCTTAACCGCCCTTTCTACCTGTGACGTAAATTTCAAAGGACAATGTACGTGCACCCTGGATCTCTTTGTTTGACAAAACTACCCAGGGCCCTGCTTTATTAAATGTATAAGTCCTGCCCTTGTTCATGTCACCAAAATGTAATTGCTGACATTTATTCAAATTAAACTCCATCTGCCACTCCTCGGCCCATTGGCCGAATTGATCAAGATCCCTTTGTAATCTTAGATAACCTTCTTCACTGTCGACTGTACCACCAATTTTGCTGTCATCCACACAATTACTAATCATGCCTCCTAAATTCTCATCCAAGTCATTTATATAAATGACAAACAACAGTGGACCCAGCTCTGATCCCTGTGAAACATTGCTAGTTACAGGCCTCCAGTTCAAAAATCAACCTTCCACCACCACCCTCTGTCTCCTCCCATCAAGCCAATTTTGTATCCAAGTCTCAGCTCTCCCTGAATCCCATGTGATCTAACTTTACTACTCAGTCTACCATGCGGAACCTTGTCCAAGGCTTTACTGAAGTCCATGTAGACAATGTCTACCGCTCTACCCTCATTAACCTTTATCAATCTCAAAAAAGCTCAAGCAACTCTGAGAGACACTATTTCCCATGCACAAAGCCATTCCAAACTTTTGCCATGTGTATCCTCAAAAAGGTGAGAATTTGTGATACTTTTCTGATTCCCATGTCTATTTATTTGTAAATAAAGTTAAAAAACTTTTGAGTTGTTAGCCATTAAATATAAACCAAAGAACATTTGATAAGTGCAGCGTGAAACTGTATTAAAGCTAAGTAGGATGCGGTTAATCCTAATACTCTGTGTATCTCGTCTTTGGACAAATGATCAAAAACACATTGTACAAATGGCAGAGGAGAAAGTCTAAGTATGGAAACATGTTCAGACTAAATGAGAGAGATTATGATGCAATGGGAACTGAAAGATTTATTTCATCATAAAGTCATGTGTTCAATTGAGCAGTTCTGTGCTATATCTACCAACGTGTATAATCTTTAATGCATGCTGACGGTGATGTTGAATTTTAACATTCATTTTGTATTGGTGTAATTGCTAGGGTGGTCATTAGCTTTGTCTTGCTACCAAGCTATCCCATGACCACTTCTGCTGGCACCATTTATTGGATATGATCTTGTTTCCATCTGATGTTTCCAACAACTTTGCATTTAGCCTACTCTGTGTAAAGTTAAATGTGTTGTTTTTATTTATTTTTCTCAATGCACTGCACTCCGTGATGGAGGGAAATGGGTGACCTGCTCCCATCTCGTTGCCAGTTGTTTTATGCACCACCCACCAGGAGGTGCATGTAAGTTATTTGCTCTGCGCTCCTTTTTTTCTATTAGCAAGCATCTGCCCTTCAGCCAATGACTTCAAGATCGTGTGTGGGATTTTCAATTTGCCATATTAAGCAATGTGTTCCATCACTCTGTAATGCATTGACATAATTCACTACTGCTTTGCCATGCATTACTTTTTATAGAGACGTCTTTTACTCCTCCACACCACCCCCCACCTCATTCCTCAGGATAGATTAATAGATCCAACAGCAGAGCGTTGAAACTCTGTAACCTGAGGAAGAAGAGGTAAAATCCTGATTTTTGATTGATTTTACAGATTTGTCTGCCTTTAGTTGGAAATGGTTGATGATGCTTTTAGCTGCACAGTTCATGAGCACCTGGGATAGTTGGGAAAGGCCATGTGACCCAATGACAGTTGTTATGGCAACCATCTTTCCATTTATTAAAGGTGGAGCCTGAAGGCGAAAGGGGTGTGTCAGCTGGAACTAGCAAAAGTGGAAGCAAGCCTGAAATGTGTGCTGGAATGCCAATTAACTAAAATATTGTAAAGTTTAGATTTTGCTATTCAAAAACTGAGTCTTTAATATGTTTATTTTTAAATCTATATTCAGAATTGCCTCTTCCTCAGTTCCCTGCATTGAGGAGTGACAATGAGATGCAAAAAGGAAGCCTTTCCCAAAGTGCAGAAATCCATGGGCAAGTGGGCCGCACAATCTCATTAGTGAGCTCCTCCAGAGGAGTAGAGAATGTACTAGGAAAAGTGGTAAGTGTTCAAATTTATGAATATGGAAAGGTAAGTCACCTCAAACAAATTGACAAAATACATCTGTATATATCAACGGAATGAGTACTTCAAGATCTTGCTATTTTCAAAAGAGAGGTTAGGCAATTATCATCTGCATCTGAGCAATGCCTGCATTTATTGCCGAACCCTAATTGCCCTGATACCATTCAGTGAGTGACTCAACAGGTCACTTCACAGGGCAGTTGATAGGCAATCATGAGGGGCATAGATAAAGTGAATAGCAAGGGACTTTTCCCGAAGGTGGCAGAGTTCAAACCTGGGGGACATTATTTTTAAGTTGAGAGGAGAAAGATTTTAAATGGGACATGAGGGGCAACTTATTTACACCTAGTGGTTCATGTGTGGAATGAATAGTCAGAGGAAGTGGTGGGTGCAGGTACAGTTACAACATGTAAAAGACGTTTGGATAAATTTATGGATCGGAAAGATGTTGAGATATGGGACAAGCGCAGGCAAGTTGGACTAGTTTAATTTGGGAATGTGGTTGGTATGGATTGATTGGACCAAAGGAGTCTATTTCCATGCTGTCTGACTATGACGTATAACTGATATCAAAAAGGAAATCCACTTCTACTTGAAGTGAATGTTGTTTAGAATAATTTTTCCAGGAAGTTTTAATAGGGCTTCAATCACTGGAACTGTTGAAACATGAGATGCCCTGATTTGGCAGAAAACCCACTAGAGGTTTGAAGACTTGCATAAACTAATGTCCTTCTCCCATGTGTGACTTTTCCTGTAATATGTAATTAATTGGCCACAAATTTGCTGAAGCGGTAAGATGCGTGCTTTCACTAATCCTTGCCCTAACTAGGCAGCCTGTACATTTGCTCCCAGGCAACATCAAGAAGATGAGAAAATTAGCTGGGTTTGCAACAGAGTTACTCTTGAAGCCCAAAAGCTGGGCTTGTTAATATTTTCAGTCACACAAAGCATTTCCTGATCAGCAATGAATTCAGTAATTTCAAAAATTAAAAAATGCACAATGTCAGGAAGATTGCAATACTTCATTCTGCATTAACCTCCCCACAAAAGATTCAGGTCATGACACCACTTGTGTGTTCAGTACGCAACTTAGCAGTGTTTCCAGAAATTGTTTTATTAAATAGGAATTAGGATTAGAATCGCATATAAGTAAGTAGCACATTTCACCATTGTACCAACTCCTTGATAGTCTCATTGGAATTTAATGAATAATGAATTGTCCAGAATTAATACAGCAGTGGACAATGTTTTCAGTTTTTGTGAAATGTAGACATTTAATAATCGATGATTTGTGAGGTGGTGATACTGTCACTGGACTCATAATGCAAAACTGCAGGCTACTGTCGTGGGGACATGCTTTCGAATCCTCCCAAGACAGATGGTGAAATTTGAATCCATCAAAAATGTGGAAGAAAAACCTAATCTGTTGGTGACCATGAAACCACTTGTTGATTGTCATAAAACCGTCTGATTCACTAATGTTCTTCAGGGAATAAATCTGCCACAAAAACAAAGTTGCTGGAAAAGCTCAGCAGGTCTGGCAGCATCTGTGAAGGAGAAAACAGAGTTAACATGTTGGGTCTGGTGACCCTTCCTCAGAACTGATGGTGGCTGGGAAAACGTCAGTTTATATGCAGAAAATAGGGAGGTGGGTGGGGTAGTGAGTAAACGATAGGATAGAGCCCAAAGAGAGAGAAAGACAGTTGGACAGACAAAGGAGTTGCTAATGATCAGGCTGGGAGGGTGAGTAGTTGTTAATGGGGACTATTAGTGACTAACAACAGGGGGTGTGTAGTGGCAGGCTATGTGGTAACAAAGCCTGGTGTGTGGGGTGGGGGGCTGGGACATGGGAGAGTTTAGACCCTAAAATCATTGAACTCAATATTGAGTCCGGAGGCCTGTAGGGTCCCCAAGCGGAAAATGAGGTGTTCCTCCAGCTTGCGTTGGGCTTCACTGGAACACTGTAGCAAGCCAGAGACAGAGATGTTGGCCAGGGAGCAAGGTGGTGCATTGAAGTGGCAGGCAACAGGTAGTTCAGGGTCTTTTTTGCGAGTCGAATGTAGATGTTCTGCAAAGCGGTCGCCCAGTCTACACTTCGTTTTCCCCAGTGTAGAGAAGACCACATTGTGAGCAGCGAATGCAGCAGACTAGATTCTGGGAAGTGCAAGTGAAGTGTTGCTTCACCTGGAAGGTATGTTTCAGCCCTTTGAATACTGGGGAGGGAGGAGGTAAATGGGCAGGTGTTGCACCTTCGCCAGTGACAGGGGAAGGTGCGTGGGGCTGTGGGGAGGAGTTGGGGGTGAAGGAAGTGTGGACCAGGGTGTCCTGAAGGGAACGGTCCCTGTGGAAGGCAGACAAAGGAGGGGGAGGGGATCTTGCTGGAGGTGGTGGAAATGGCATCTGATGATCTTCTGGATGTGGATGCTGGTGGGATGGTAGGTAAGGATAAGAGGAACTCTATCGCTGTTGCGGGAGGGAAGAGAAGGGGTGAGGGCGGAAGTACGGGAGATAGGTCGGACCTGGTTGAGGGCCCTGTCGACAACAGAGCCTGGGAAACCTCGGTTGAGGAAGAAGGTGGACATTATGGACGCTCCCTTGTCAAAGTTGGCCTCATCTGAACATATGCGACGGAGACAGAGGAACTGAGAGAATGGGATGAAGTCTTTACAGGAAGTGGGATGTGAGGATGTAGAGTCCAGGTAGCTATGGGAGTCAGTGGGTTTGTAGTGGATATTAGTGGCCAGTCTATCCCCAGAAATGGAAACAGAAATGTCGAGGAAGGGAAGGGAGGAGTCAGAGATAGACCAGGTGAAAGTGAGGGCAGGGTGGAAATTGGAGGTGAAATTGATGAAGCTTTCCAATTCCAGACGAGAGAGGGAATCAGCACCGACAAGATCATCGATGTATCGGAGAAAGAGTTGTGGGTGGGGGCCAGAATAACCCACGAAGAGACAGGCATAACAAGGGCCCATGCGGTTACCCATGGCAACCCCTCTTGCCTGAAGAAAATGAGAGGAGTTGAAAGAGGAGTTGTTGAGGGTGAGGACAAGCTCGGCCAAGCGGAGGAGGGTGGAGGTGAGTGGGGATGGTTCAAGTCTTTGCTCCACGAAGAAGCGGAGAGCCCTAAGACCCCCCTGGTGGGGAATGGATGTGCAAAGAGATTGCACATCCATGGTAAACAGGAGGTGGCTGGAGCCGGTAAACTGGAAGCTTTGAAACCAGCGTAAGGTGTCGGATGAATCATGGATGTATGTGGGTAGGGATTGGACCGGGGGGAGAAGACTGAGTTAAGGTAGAAAGAGATGAGTTCTGTGGGGCATGAGCAGGCTGAAACAATGGGTCTAACTGGACAGTCCTGTTTGTGGATTTTTGGCAGGAGGTAGAAACGAGCTGTGCGGTGTTGGGGAACTATTAGCTTGGAAGCGGAGGTGGGGGAGATCAGCAGATGAAATGAGATCTAACTCTGACTTTGTCATCAAGCCTGCCGATAAGGCTGGTGCTGTTGTAGTCTGGCGTACTGACCTCTACCTTGCAGAGGCTGAGCGCTAGCTCTCGGATACCTCCTCCTACGCTCTACTGGACGATGACCCCACCATGGCACATCAGGCCATTGTATCCACTACGGTTATGGATCCCATTTCATCAGGTGATCTCCCCAGCTCCACTTCCAAGCTAATAGTTCCCCAATCCTGCACAGCTCATTTCTACCCCCTGCCAAAAATCCACAAACAGGACTGTCCAGGTAGACCCATTGTTTCAGCCTGCTCATGCCCCACAGAACTCATCTCTTCCTACCTTAACTCAGTCTTCTCCCCCCTGGTCCAATCCCTACCCACGTACATCCATGATTCATCTGACACCTTACGCCGGTTTCAAAACTTCCAGTTTACCGGCTCCAGCCACCTCCTCTTTACCATGGATGTGCAATCTCTTTACACATGCATTACCCACCAGGAGGGTCTTAGGGCTCTCCGCTTCTTCCTGGAGCAAAGACCTGAACCATCCCCTCCCACCACCACCCTCCTCCGCTTGGCCGAGCTGGTCCTCACCCTCAACAACTTCTCTTTCAACTCCTCTCATTTTCTTCAGGCAAGAGGGGTTGCCATGGGTACCCGCATGGGCCCTTGTTATGCCTATTTCTTCGTGGGTTATGTGGAACATTCCTTGTTCCAGTCCTATTCTGGACCCCACCCACATCTTTCTCCAATACATCGATGATATCATCGGTGCTGATTCCCTCTCTCTCTTTGAGAATTGGAAAACTTCATCAACTTCGCCTTCAATTTCCACCCTTCCCTCACTTTCACCGGGTCTATCTCTGACTCGTCCCTTCCCTTCCTCGACATTTCTGTTTCCATTTCTGGGGATAGACTGGCCACTAATATCCACTACAAACCCACTGAGTCCCACAGCTACCTGGACTCCACGTCCTCACACCCCACTTCCTGTAAAGACTCCATCCCATTCTCTCAGTTTCTCTGTCTCCGTTGTATATGTTCAGATTAGGCCAACTTCAACAAGGGAGCGTCCAAAATGTCCACCTTCTTCCTCAACCGAGGATTCCCCAGCGCCGTTATCGACAGGGCCCTCAACCAGGTCCGACCCATCTGCCGCACTTCTGCCCTCACCCCTTCTCTTCCCTCCCGCAACAGCAATAAAGTTCCCCTTATCCTTACCTACCATCGCACCAGCATCCGTATCCGGAAGATCATCAGACGCCATTTCCGCCACCTCCAGCAAGATGCCACCACCAGACACACATTCCCCTCCCCTCCCTTGTCTGCCTTCCGCAGGGATCGTTCCTTTCAGGACACCCTGGTCCACACTTCCTTCACCCCAAACACCTCCCCACAGCCCCACGGCACCTTCCCCCGTAACCGGCGAAGGTGCGACACTTGCCCATTTACCTCCTCCCTCACCAGTATCCAAGGGCCCAAACATACCTTCCAGGTGAAGCAACACTTCACTTGCACTTCCCAGAATCTAGCCTACTGCATTCACTGCTCACAGTGTGGTCTCCTCTACACTGGGGAAACGAAGCATAGACTTGGTGACCGCTTTGCAGAACATCTACGTTCTACTCGCAAAAAAAGACCCTGAACTACCTGTTGCCTGCCACTTCAATGCACCACCTTGCTCCCTGGCCAACATCTGTCTCTGGCTTGCTACAGTGTTCCAGTGAAGCCCAACGCAAGCTGGAGGAACAACACCTCATTTTCCGCTTGGGGACCCTACAAGCCTCCGGACTCAATATTGAGTTCAATGATTTTAGGGTCTAAACTCTCCCATGTCCCAGCCCCCCACCCCACACACCAGGCTTTGTTACCACATAGCCTGCCACTACACACCCCCCTGTTGTTAGTCACTAATAGTCCCCATGAACAACTACTCACCCTCCCAGCCTGATCGTTAGCAACTCCTTTGTCTGTCCAACTGTCTTTCTCTCTCTTTGGGCTCTATCCTATCGTTTACTCCCTACCCCACCCACCTCCCTATTTTCTGCACATAAACTGACGTTTTCCCAGCCACCATCAGTTCTGAGGAAGGGTCACCGGACCCGAAACATTAACTCTGTTTTCTCCTTCACAGATGCTGCCAGACCTGCTGAGCTTTTCCAGCAACTTTGTTTTTGTTCCTGATTTACAGCATCCGCAGTTCTTTTGATTTTTATTTAATAAATCTGCCATCCTTACCTGGTTTGGCTCCAGATCCACAGCAATGTGGTTGACTCTCAACTGTTACCTGGGCAACTGAGGATAGGCAATAAATATTGACCTGGCCAGAGATGGCCACATCCCATGAACAAATTTTTTTTTAGAATGTTGCATTGTTTATATCCAAATTGCATGTTAACATTGAGAACATATCTAAGCGATGTTTGGCCATTGTAGCACATAAATGATATGGTAATGTGCTTCAATGTCAGGCTTGGAAAGATAAGGGAAAAGATGATTAAGGGAATCAAAATCAGAGAGGTTGTTGCTATTTTACCCTAAAAGTACTAGCTTCACCATTATTTTACCGCACCATCCAGTTTGAGCAATTCTTGCTGCCGTTCTTGCCAAGATAGTGTCCATCAATGTGGTTTGCTTAATAATGAAGGCTATGCATCAGAATAAGCCAGAGAGATATTTTGAAAATGGGACTGCAGAAAATTACTGTCCCACTGACTGTCCCAAGGTTAAGCGACTGTCTTAACGTGAAAATAGTAACTTCAGCTGTTCACTGTTGAGCTACTTAGCAATGTATGAGGATGCTTTTGTCAATGGTGCTTTGACATTAAGGGAGATCTAACATGTGGCATTCAAACAATTAAACTGGCCTCTGTGAAGAATATCATGTAAAATAACGGTAGTTTTTTTTTTTGAAAAAAAACAAATAATGAGTAATCCCCCCAGTATCTGGCATGCAAGGGAAATTGACAGGGCGCCTCTTTCCTTCAATCTGCCGGTTTCATAAGAAATTCTAGTGGCAGTTTGGAGAATTCGACTTGTCATTGTCAGGAGGTGAATTTTAAAAACATGGGGCCAGGGTCATTTGTTGTTACTGCCAATGAGGTTTTGATCAATAAAGGAGAGAGAGAGAGAGAGGCAACCAAATAATCAGTTCCCAGAGCAAGGAAACTCCTGTCCTGATGAGTCAGTCCTTCCACCTTGGTAAGGTCTTCAGGAGATAACAATTCCTTCTTGGAACCAAAAGAACTGCGGATGCTGTAAATCAGGAACAAAAACAAAGTGGCTGGAAAAGCTCAGCAGGTCTGGCAGCATCTGTGGAGGAGAAAACAGTTAACGTTTCGGGTCTGATGACCCTGAGGATGGGTCACCGGACCCAAAACGTTAACTCTGTTTCCTCCTCCACGGATGCTGCCAGACCTGCTGAGCTTTTCCAGCAACTTTTTGTTTTTATTCCTTCTTGGAATCCAGCTCATCAGTACCATGCACACGTTACCACTGATCATTAGTGAACCTTGACCACAAGTACTGATATCTCCATTGCAATTTGGAGCTGACTTGAATCCTGTCCATGCTTAACATTATATATAAATGTGCCCACTTTCTGATAGGAGCCACTGGATGGTGAGGAAGACGGTAACTGTGTAATTTGCCTAACTCTCGGGATATGATGACAGTTGCAATGCCCTGGCTCAGATCTTTCGAAGGCAGCACAGATCAGGAAATACGCCTTTTGATTTGAAAGGCAAAACACTGCATCCAGGGGAGGCGATGGCCTAATGGTATTGTTGCTGGACTGTTCATCCAGAGACCCAGATAATGTTCTGGGGACCCAGGTTCAAATCCCCCTATAGCAGATGGTGGAATTTGAATTCAATCAATTAACAATCTAATGATGACTGTGAATCCATTGTCAATTGTTGGGGAAAACCCATCTGGTTCACTAATGTCCTTTCAGGAAGGAAACTGCCATCCTTACCTCGTCCGGCCTACGTATGACTCCAGACCCACAGCAATGTGGTTAACTCTGAACTGCCCACTGAGTAATTAGGGATGGGCAATAAATGCTGCCTAGCTAGCAACACCCTCATCCCGTGAATGAATAAAAGAAAAAAAAAAGTACCTATTTCCCATATTCTATCAAGAAGGCAATTTACCCTATTGTGCAGCGTCTTGTGAAGTATAGTTTTAATTGAATAAAGAACATAAAATGTATATATTTTGTTATATTATCGGTGGTGCCATTTGCCAGAGTATTGCAGTGCACTGCCCCAGACTGAAATGCTACTTTGTTTTATTTGAAGCAGGAGCCTGTGTCTGCAGTTACGTTGCCCATCGACTCTCCTCCTTCTTCACCTCCCTACCAAAAGAGTCAAGCAGTAAGTGGAGATGGGAGACCAAGAATTGGTTTTGATCAAAATCAAACAGGTAGATTAGAGCTCAGTGTGTTTTTTGTGTTTGAAGTGGGAAGGCCTTCCACAATGATTGAATGATGCTGTTTTATTTTCATGTTTAATTTTTTTTTCTCTGACAAAAGCCTGTCAGAAAAATGTGACATTATTCTGGGTACATGTCAGAAGAAAAAATAATCCTTGAGGAAAACTGCATTTATCTCTTACTTTGTTTTGATTTGTTTATAGTTGGTAGCACCATCATTGGTGGTCATGTCTTTATCCACATCTCAATGCCAGTAGTTTGCAAACATTATAGGAAGATTGAGAAGAAAACTCAAACCTAATGTGGTTGACTCCAGCTATTCATTGAAACCCTCTCTCTGAATGTTACTTCAAATGTTGAGAGTAAATCATGGTACAGAGTTCTGAGACTAAAATTCAGTACAGGGCAAGTGAGGGGAATTGAGTTTATACAAATGGTGCCTCCCAGTTGAGGAATTCAGTAGATGATGTTTGGGAAACTTCCTCCAACTGAACTTTGACACCCTAGTGAGCCAAGCATTCCTGACCTGTTAACTGTTTCTCAGCAGTAGTTATCCAAAGAGGAGAAGCTGTAAAAGATATGTAAGACCATAAGATGTCGCAACAGAAGCAGGCTATTCAGCCCATCTAGCCTGCTCCTCCATTCAATGAGAGAGTGGCTGATCTGATAATCCTCAATTCAACTTTACTGCCTTTTCCCCATAACACTCAATTTGTTATAAGTCTGCCTGAATATCTCAGCCTTAAATATATTTAATGACCCAGTCTCTTTTGTGATTTGATTTAAGAATTCCCTAGATTTACTACCCTCTGAGGGAATTCTTCCTCCTTTCGCCCTTAAATGGGCAACCCCTTACTCTGAGACTATACTGTCTGCTCATGGACTCCCCTACAGCAGAAATGTTCTCTCAGCACTTACCTTGCCAAGCCCCCTAAATGCTATATGTTAGTTACACAGAGATACATTTTAACCATAATGAAAGCATTTTAAAACCCAAATTTACAGTCTTCAGCATCCAAGAAGAAAAGTTAATCTCATTCAGTCTAAGGTTCAGCTCCGATCGGTTTGTCTACAACATCATCATAAGGATCTCGCTCTGAATCAGAGGTTTCTGAATCAGCTCTGCACAACAACTCTTCTTCCCCTCCATTTGCTGAATAGGATAGTCTACATTTTATTAATGCCTTTTTGGCTTATGTATTATTTGTAAGTACACTTAACAGCCAAATCTCGACAGCCATTGCAGTTAAGAATTCCTCAGAATCACTACCTTCTGAGAGAAGAAATTCCTCCTCCTCCTCAAATGAGCGACCCCCTTATTCTGAGATTATGTCCTCCGGTTCTGCCCTGTCCAACAAGGGACAAATGATCTTTCTGCATCGACCCTGTCAAGCCCCAAAAAATCTTATACGCTT